AAGCCAAGATTAAGTTAATTCAGCCACCCATGCTATGTTGCATTACCTTTTTTTCGTGCATCAATTGCATCTCTTCGCACTTTCTCAGCCTTGGAGGCAGAAAGCGCCTCGTATTCCTTTCCTAGTTTCGATTAGTGAGCAGAGTTCAGTAGCATGGATTCAATGCTTCGTACGCGACATTGTGGTGGACGCAGCACGATAGTGGTCCATGCATTTGGTGCATACAAAACGGCCATTCGTTGAATTATAGCCACCAATATAGTGACGTGGATCTCCAGCAGGAATAAGTGCCCGGCACTTGTCGCGCTCACACACAGTGGGCTGGTTCGATGGTAGATCATCGGTGAACTTGGCAACAAGCCCACTATCCAAAGCGCGGCTCATGAGGCTTCGGAGGAGAGAGAGGAGCAGGAGGAATGGGATCCAGGGCAAAAAAATGGCCGGCTCAAATACTATAGACGCCAAGCTGCTCGTCAGACTAATCGGATTCACCTAAGCATCGTATTCGAGCACAGGACAAACCGGTGCACATAGCCAATTGCGCAGTAAATCCCCAGGCTGTGTCCCGGAGCAATCGGAACCAAATCGGAACGGTCTGTTCCCTTTCCCGCTGCGTAAAGAACAACGATAAGCCTCTTGAAATTCGGCGGTCGCTTGCGTCTTCAGGTGCGGCAGTCATTCCGATGCGATGCATGGCTGTGTAACAGCCATTTTTCAACCACAGCACTGCAGTGCGTACCAGCATATAAAACTGTGCACCACTTTCTTCTAGCTCATTCACCAACGTCTGCAAAGCCTCCCGGTTCACAGTCTTCCTCGAAAATGGCACGGAATAACCAGTACAAGCCTCTTCGTAATGTCCTTCTGTGAATATCGTAAACTGGTTGCTAATTTTCTTGCAGCTCCATTGAAGGTTGTTGGTCCGCATATTCTTCGATACTGGAAAATGCGGCTGAACGACAAGCGAATCTTGGAGCTTCTCCGAACCAAGCACCTGAATGATACAGCATATGGAATCGGGTGTGTCAATACAGTTGATTTGATACGACCTACTTATCTTCTGCTCAACTCAAGACTCACTCGCTTTCGTGAAATGCGGGAGGCCATGGGTCTGTTCCGCTCGAGGAAGCAGGGCCACGATGTGGATAGCATACGCGAGGCCATGCAGCGACTGCGCGCGCAATACCCCAAAGCTGGTCAGAGAGAAATCAGCGGGCTCTTATTTCACGAGGAAGATATGAGTGTTCCACGGTTAGTTCAACCTTTTAAACGGTTGAGATATCTAACAGACCTACCAGATCGGTTATAACATCTTATTTCGCAATCTATGAGCCCGAACTGGTCCGTCAGCGTCGAGCAAACCGCCTCAAGCGCAAGCGCTTCTGGGCAGCGGGTGTCAACGATCTTTGGGCTGTTGACCAACATGATAAGTGGAAATATAAGTTTGGGTTGGCCTTACACTCTGGGCTGGATCCTTTCATCGGTCGCATACATTGGTTGAAGATCTGGTGGACAAACAGTAACCCTCGACTGATTTTGAGCTTCTATCTGGACACAGTCGCGGAATCCGGATGTGCGTACAATCTCTCTCAGTGTGGTCCGTCATACTCATCGTTCCAGATATGCCTCTTGTATCTCAGAGCGATCCAGGGGTTGAAAACTTTGGGCTTGCAAACGGGCACACTCTTCTTCGCCACTGGCACGACCCTGGTCTCGAGGGCACACTTCAGCATCGCTGGATGAACGAGAAGAAGAATGTCATGCCTGAGATTGGCTGGTCCCAATTGCGGCACCGCTGGACTCCGGGCTTTGAGGACATACTTGATATCGGTGTGAATAATGGTTGGTATGATCCGAGCAACCTACTCCAAGCGTAAGTGTCCTTCTTCCCCTCTTCACTGAATATCTGATACCGTGACACAGGCTTGTCTTCCGATGGGTCTTTATCCCGTGGTTGCAGAGCGAACTTGATGCATATAGGAACCGTGTAAATAACACGGCAAAACGGGCGGATAAAAACAAGATCCTCCCACATGGAGTTCCGAACCACATGTACGAGGCTCCGGAAGATTTCGGGGTCTTGGACTTCAAGGTACGTTGGATCTGGGAAAAGACATAACTGTGATGGTTGATTCCGCTTCAACCAGATCAAAGTCGATCCCGAATCAATCTCACATGTTCGAAACTTGTATGCACCGCCAGACCACGAGGTTTTCGAGTTGGTACCCAAAGCCTTTGCGGACCTTGCCGCTGAGTTCTACATTGAGATGGGACAGCCCTCGGTTACTCGGACCAATGTCTGGGATATATATATGGAGATACTGACTCAATTCTTGCACCTCGATAATGCCCATCGAGTTCCGGTAGCGTTGGATGAAAAGTGGGGATATGCCTTGACAATGGCTCGAGATGACTACCAGGATGATATCGATTTAATTCCGAACTTGGTTCCGCTCCGGAATGGTGCTGATGTCGTCGGTCAGGATGGGACATTTTACATGGGAGGGGTCAACAATGGGGGAGGGTTAGGTGGGCCAAGTTTCTATGATCTTCAGCTCATACTCATTGCCAAAGGACAGATGATTCACACCTATTGCAGCTCGACGAGATGATGAATCGTGATGATCCCTTGCCGGAGGGTGAGGACGATGATCAACTGATGGCGTGGTTCTCCGATGAAGAAGATCAGGCCACTGTCAGCCAGAGTGTCTATGAATAGATAGATGTCTGGCAAACAGAACCGACTGTCCAAAGTTGGTCATCAGAATGTAAACAAATACACACCAGTGTTCGAAGGATTATGGGGACTCAATTCCATGGTGCAACCACTTCGAAAAAATTATAGAGCATTCACATACCTCCAATTATGCTCCGATTAATCACATGTAAGATCTTGGCAAGAGGAACCAACAGAAACAGCTGTCCAAAGTCGGTCATCATAATGTGAACAGATGACAGAGGGACCACACCTAAACTACCATACTTATGCTCTAAGGGATGATTAGATATACACACGACCCAACACATTGTTTTCCGGTCTCCAGACCGGCGGTGGGCACCCCGGCTCGAGCTCGGCTCAAATGATCGGGTTGATCAGTTGTCAAGTTCCACTAATGGTTCGTGGCCGGTTGCACTAGACATTGTAACTCATTCAATCGAAACGAGTAATAGTACGGTCGCACTTGCAGTCTTTTCATCAACACTCACAAAACAGCGGACGCGCTTGATCCACGGCTGTTCCCGAATCATGTGACCGTGTATTGACAGTCCAAGGCCGACAACTCTGGGTCCGAGTGACGCAAAGTCATTTGCGCCATAATCAATAACAAATAGTGGAGGGCACATAATCGGGCAGAGATTATAGTACGGTGAAAGTGATATAAACATATGGCATGTCATTTGCATCACGCCCGCACGGTGGCCGGAGTCTGACTGCCCGATGGGGGCAACTCCGGTCATCAAACGAGCGTGGTGCTCTGGCTTTCCATAAGATAGACTAGAGTCAGTCACTGTGACGTGACAAGGCTGATGCGCTGACGGCCGACTACTTACCCCAGCCTCCAGGCGCGTGTAGTAGCTCTTCACATTTTCTGGAAACCTCGATGCTCCCCAAGGACACTATCCTCATCAAAGACCTTCGCGTGTGCAGCACCGTAGGCTCGGATCGCTGGGGCAAGGTCCGCCCGCAACCCATTGAAATATCGATCGCAGTCGAAGCCTCTCTCGTAGCAGCAGGGACTTCCGACGACGTAGCGGACTCGGTGCACTACGGAAATCTAGCTAAAGATGTTGTCAAGCGTACCCATGACACAGAATTTCCCAACCTCCTGGCCCTCGCTGAATCTGTCGCGCAACTGGCTTTGGAGGTGGACAGTCGAGTGTCCGCGGTCGACGTTCGCGTCCATGCAAAAAACCAGTTCCTCCAGGCCGAGTCTCTCGGCGTTGAAATCCGGCGGACAAAAGCAGCTGAACGCCGGTCCGAGTGCTTGATCCAAGACCTCCGAGCGAATATTATCATCGGTGTTAATCCTCCGGAGCGAGAGGCGAAGCAGGCCGTGCTGGTGAATCTACGGTTCTATGATTTGGACTGGGGAAAGGTGACTGGCGGTCAGGATTGGCAGAAGATGCATGCGCAATTGGTCAAGGTACTCTCAAGCATGTTGTCTGGACAAATGAGGTGTTAACGTGTACTCAAGGCTATAGAGGCTACCGAATACCTCACACTTGAAGCCTTCGTTGCTGAGGTCGCTCGAGTCGCGTGCCAATTTGATTGCGCGGATGGCGTCACCGTCCGTGCACAAAAGCCGAGCGCGCTAACAACTGCTCACTCTTCGGGTGTTGAAATCACTAGAAATCGGGCGTTTTACAAGTTACCACCTATCACCCTGACCTCGGGCTGAATACTCTCCTACCTTGTATGAATATTGCTGAGGTCCTCTTGGTTACACGCGGCCCGCCGGGTCTATAGCATAGTGATCCTGAACCATTGTCTTCAGAAAGATCATGTAGAAAGCTGTAGAGGGTGAATCGAGCCTACCCGCCGGGCTGCTTCTAGTCTTTCATTTAGTAGTGCAGACTCGACGCTCAGTAAGCATCCCGAGCTCTTGCTACTTATTTGCATACACTACGTTCAGGGGCCGGCTCGCCGGCCGATCGGCGAGTTGGTGGTACCCGGGGCTAGCCGCCTCGCCGGCGGCCTAAGTCCGGGTTTAGCCGACTAGCCGCAGACCTAGACACTTTAGCCGAGGGTCTAGGTCCGCGGCGAGGCGGCTGTAGCCGGGTACCACCGACTCGCCGATCGGCCGGCTAGCCGGCCCTTGAATGCAGTGATAAGCAACAGTGTTCCCCCGGAATATAGCTCGGCTTTGCTTTCACATTCGTTGGAGATTCTGTGAGCATTTGGTGAACATGCTGTGAACATGCATACTACATAGTATATATAGCACTTTCTGCTGTGATCTCGAAGAAGTTAGGATTGAAGGTTGTGCGCTCAGTGTCATGGTTCGATGGTGTAGTTGGTTTATCACTTCTGTCTAACACGTCAGGTGTACACAGGCGGTCCTCGGTTCGAGCCCGGGTCGAATCATTTTTTGATAACTAGCCTCTTGCTTTTTCAGTCCTGAAGCCATTCAGATACTTGGTTCAATAGGTCACCGTGCTCAGCGTGAGGGTAATTCCAGCTCGTGGAGAATCTACTGTGCTCTACTATTTCCGAGCGACTTATGAGTCCCCGAGGGATAACCGAGGCGATGCTCAGTCAGCCCGAGTCCATCCCGTACTCACAGTAGAGTTCTCGCCAGTTGAGGCACGAGACTAGCGAGAACGTGGGCTTGCTAAGCATAGGGGTAGTCGGAGGTCGTTCATCTTTTGCCCTCTACAATATCTGTCTCATTATAGCCTATCTTCATTTTGGTCTATCAACTCTTTTCGCCCCGCCCACCCTCACCTGTTGTTTTTTCGTTGAGTTCACCAGTGTCTTGGTGACGGTGGTCTCTACGACCGCGTCACCTCACACTCGAGGAGCGCAAGCTCTCTCTCCCACTCTGTTGTTTTGTGTTGTTCGGTACATAACACTGTGCCATTAGTAGACTCGCGGGCCAGTCGACGTACACTCGATTACAATAAGACTGAGCGGGACGATTTAGCACAGACCAAACAGACACAACATCAGAGCAAACATAAACAACAGGTAACCTCGTGTACGGACTGGGCCGGCATGTCGCCTGTTTTGGTGATGAGATTTCCCCCCGCCATTTGAGAGGTGCGGACTTCGTCAAAAAAACATCGAAAACATCGAAAAAAGTGCTCAAAGTGACTTAATCAAAGATGGATATTTTTCGATTCTCTATCGATTGAGCCCGGGTTGTTTTTTTGGGTGAATATATCTGTGATTTATTCGTGATTTATTCAGTCATGCACTGCCACATCTTGAGCTGGATTCTGCTGGATTCCTACTACGGTCGACACTTTGGCAGCATTTCTCATCGGAATATGATCTACACTATTTAAACTCATTGTAGGAGTACACTCCAACCATCCTCATGCCTTTAGCTGGTCAGGAAACCGAGTTTTCATACAAAAAACGACTTGGGCTCAATCGATAGAGAATCGAAAACTACCCGTGTTTGATTAAGACACTTTGCACACTTTTTTCGATGTTTTCGACGTTGTTTTGACGAAGTCCGCACCTTTCAAATGGCGGGTGAAATCTCATCACCAAAACAGGCGACGAGGGAGCCCAGCTAATCTCGGATCCAGATCTTCACGGGGATGTGCGGAGTTTGAAATTTGGGGCAGCCCATCAAGAAAACCCCCACCACACATCACCCCGTGAAGATCTGGTGCAGTTCGTAGAGCAGATGGGTGATTGCTCGGCAATGTCACGTATGTCACCGCGCCGGTGGCGCAAATCTTTTGGTATTTTTTGGTATTCAGGCGCTATAGCCTACAGATAAATTATAGTGATGTGCCCCAGATATCTGAATGGCATTGCTTATGAGGTTCAGCCCTTTTCACCGAGGTCATTTGCCCGGGAACATGTGAAGAGCATGGTTTCAACCCCGGATACATGACAATAGTTTGAGTATGAAAGATGACTCGAAAAAATGGGGGAAAAGTTCGGAGAGCCTCCAAAGTGGAGCAGAAAGCCCCAGCCCACGTTGTGGGCCCATCGGAGCTATGGGGACAGCCCATAAATCTGTCTCTTCTGGAGCGTGACACAATCACCCATTTTCTATACGAACTGCACCAGACGTTCTAGGGCAGAGAACCGCCGTCACATTTTCATCAAAACCTGCCTCGGAACAATTTCCGAGGATCCGATATCTCCGGATAGCTACTACCGCCACTCATTCTCTGCCCGCGAGCGCAGCGAGCGAAACTGCCCTAGGGCAGAGAACCGCCGTCACATTTTCATCAAAACCTGCCTCGGAACAATTTCCGAGGATCCGATATCTCCGGATAGCTACTACCGCCGCTCATTCTCTGCCCGCGAGCGCAGCGAGCGAAACTGCCCTAGAACGGATGGGTACGAGACTAGAGCCCAGCCGGTATCCCAGCATACTTGCCGACCCTGATTGTCCTGTTGTTGCATTGCTGGGATCACCGGCTGGTCACGAGCCTATGCCATTAGCAAGCCTAGGAGACTACAGACCTACTGGCAGTTACATAACGTCACCCAAGTCACGGTCTGTCCCCAGTAACCTTGCAGTGACCGGAGCAATCATTGCCATTGCGAGTCAGGCAATGCGTCGGATACACTGGGAAACTGGTCTATAGACGACCCTGTAGACCTCAGACCTAAGACCGTAGACCGTAGACCGTAGACCTATTACTTAATATATGTGAATATAGACCTGAGCGTAGACCTTGCCACATACCTCACCTGGAAACGTCACAAATAGAGTTAATGTGACGTGTAGGGGCGAGTAGTCCTGCGTAGACCTGGCTGTAGTCGTAGACCGTTGTGTAGACCGTTGCATAGACCTTGCATAGACCACTGCCGTAGACCGCCCCGTAGACCATCAGGAAAAGCTCTCCTGCCTATAGTTCCCCGGTTAGTTATATAGCTATGATAGTAGGCCATAGCTGCTGTAGGTCAGCAGGAACAATATATAGCTTGTATAGTCAACATAGTCACTGGTGAAAGCTATGGCAAGCTGTGTAGACTTGCTGCACAGCTATGTTCTGCTATCAAACCTAAAAAAAAATTGAGCTTTCAAGTTCGCTCCGAGTCTTTTACAAGTAGAAGTGCCATGTTGAGAAGTTTCAAAACCACTGATTTGCCAACTTACTTATTGTCAGAACTTGATTCGGAAACTTGACTGATGCCAGTGGGGAATACGTAAGTCTGTTCAAGGCATTAAAATTCGTGTATGTACGCAGTGACCTGGATGGGCTACATAAAAATTGGGCTAAAGCCGCTTGCGGATTGTAGCCGTAGCCGGCGGGTAAAGCCGGATCTTTGATTTTTGCTCAAGTGACAAGTCGTTTGAGAGTCCGATCAGTCACGTGAAATGGCGTGCTCGGTTGATGATGCATGATGTGTCAAGCGTTGCCGAGTCGAGGCGCTGCTTGTCTTTTCCCCCCATCTTGTCGCTCCTTCCCCACTGCCTGTTTCCAAGAGTCCTCTCCAAGCTCCTGGATCAAGCCCCCCAAGCCAAGTCATGTCTTCAGGGACCCTTCTGAAGCCAGAGTGCCGCACCTGTTTCTCCCAATGTCATCAAAGCCCCCCCCATTCGTCAAGCTACCCTCAAACCCGTCAAGCTATCCTCAAAGCCTCCGCAATCCAAGTTCCCAGTCCTCCGATCTTCTTTCAAATCCTCTGTCCTTGATGACTGAATTGGTGGTTCGCACGTCCTTGGGCAGCGGAAGACTTCCGGGCCGAGATGGGCAGGGTCCGCGCGCACCTGGTGCAAGGTGCGTTATGGGCTTAACAGGATTTCATGTTGACAAAGTATTCCTTACCCTAGGTCACTGCGCTCACGCTTCAAACACAATATCTCCCGAGTCGGATACATACCCAAGGTGCAAGCCGTTTTCTTTTCGCATAGATGTAGCTGACCAGGTTTTGGCTTTTTTCCCCTCTAATGCGCATCATCTGATGATCCTTTCCCAATGTCGCTAAGTTCTCGACGACGCCATGCGACAATACGAGCTGGAGATCGGTGCTGGTGGTGGATAGTATCTTTTGATGGCGTAGCATACGTTCATCAATATAATTGATTATCGTTCTTTGTTGTGGATAAGGAGCACCACAGCAGCTTGGTATCACTACAGACTGATATGTAGACTCTTAGCCTACAAAGCTACAGGAAATTGAGGTGTACTACAGCCACTATGGAGTCCTATGTAGTTTTGGCACCAAGCTACAGAGGTCTAAATAACAGGGGTCAAGCGATAGCGCTACAAGTGCTATCAAGCCTACATAGTTCTCTATCGACTGTGAGTTTTTTCCAGATGACCTGCCATGGAACTTGCCGACACTACTTTGATCCGTGATAATGATCCCATCAGGCCGCCGCTTTTGGATCTCAATTTGCTCGCTTACCTCCTCACCATCTCGCCGCTGTCGCTATCCCTTGTTGTTATAGTCCAGGCAAGATTGCACAAGTGGTTGTTAGACCAGGCTTTACAAGCTGATGAGGATTTCTTCCTCATCCCAGTATCTATACTACAAGGAAATATATTTAGGATGTTCCGGTGTCCATTCCGGGATGAGTCGGCCATCCTTCGGGATCACTAAGCCCATCACTAATCAATCTAGCATCTTCTCTTATATCCCTGTCAGCTGCTCTCCAGATGCTCAATTTTTGGAATGGGTGGCATATATTGTGCATTTCCCGCCGCCCGGGCCACTTGAGCCAGCATTGACCAAAGCACACCTGAAAGTGCTGGACGGAAGTGGTATGTAGCAGCCAACAAGCAGCCAACAGCGCAGGATGATTGATCGGTAGTCACTTGTTGCACCTTGTTTGCAAAGATATGGAATATACATGTCGGTCTACGTGAAGGTCTTCGACTAGGTCTATAGTTCAGTTCGGTCTATAGCAAGGTCCACTGTGTAGTCTACTACATGGTCTGCATGAAGGTTTATCGACTAGCGTGACAGGTCTACGATATGGTCTACTTGCACTGATGTATCTCGTAATCTCCGGCACGGTCCAGCCGGTCTGGTCTGAGGTCTGGTCGGAGGTCTTTTAGACCGGTCTATAGACCACATTTCCAGTAGCTCCGACGTTCACGAGTCAGGCATACTTAGGCTGGCGCTCACATCTACCATGATCTTACGCAGCATTGGTATTGGAAAGATGTGCATTGACAAGATCTTCTGCTACTACTACTAGCTCTCTTGCTTCCTCGTTGCCAAAGCAGTCGCCGTCTCCGGCTTCGTACTTACCTCACGGAGAGATCGCCCGCTGATGCAGGCGCGCCGCTGCCAAATGCCGCGTGCGCCGCGCAGCCAGTCGCCTGCGACCCACCTCAGTTGAGTCGGGGAGGTGTTGAAGGGTAGTTTCTTCATCGTTCATCTCCTCTGCGGTTGCAACTTGGCAATCATCATTGATAATTACCACCTCCCGACCTGGA